AGAAAAAATCCTGATCTAACATGCCCACGTACAATTGTTGAAACTTTTATGGTTACTTTGAACATATTTTTGACACATATATCTTTAAAAAATTCATGTGTATAAATATACTGTAGGAATGATCAATTATTTGTATCAGAAAATGTTATGTTTAAAAAATAACTATCTTGTAGTTATGAAAAACAATCACTTAAATTCACCAACAAATCCTACATCATGATCAAATGAGAACTGAACTTTTAGGCTGTAACATTTTGCATCGGACCAGCCAGGTGCAACCTTTTCTTACACACATTTTTTAAACATATTTACGTGAGAGATATACTCAGAATAATACAGAATTCCCTGAAAGCTGTTATATACATACATATATAATGGAATAAATTTAGAGTAATTTAGTTTCTGCACTTAGAAATGTGTGAAGACTTATGTTGATTGGTCCTGCTATGAACCCAAAACCCAGCCACTGGGAACTGATATCCATGTGGGGGTTGAATGAGAGATCCCAATTGCTCCCTCCAAAGCTACAATATACTCTCAGATAGACCTGTTCAGAGATGGAACATCAGATTGGAGAACATATCATCTACACCAGCAGAACATCAGAGCCCTACTGTCAACTGAATGGAATCATTATTTTTTGCATTGTGTATCACTACCACATTCAGGAAGATACCTCCATGGTCCACCACCCAAATGGCTTGAAACTGGAAAATGATAAGGACTCCTGTACTCCACTGGAAGAAAAAAGGGAGGAGAGTCTGGAGGAACATCAACACTGGAGACAGTGCAACTGGTGACCATGAAAACCCAATTTCAATAAACAGTCCACTCATGATTTATCCAATCTAAGGAGTGGCAGGGACGGGCAGCTATCCCCTCTGCTTTACCCATAAAGCTCATGGCCAGTACGGTCTGGAATGGGCATATTAACAAAGCAGATATATCATGAGGAAAAACCTCCAAGCAATCTCATGGAACACCTCATCTCAATAGTGTGCATTTAGTGGCCATGGAAATTATAATTGTTAAGTCAAAGTGGCCTTACAGTGCAGATTTGACTAGTTTAAGTACACCTGGACAGGCACCACTTGTCACAGAGCAGGATTTGTAAAGAAACAAAAGGGACATGCCCCTGAAAAATAAGAGGTTTATATACATAAAAGGTAACTTATCTAGTCACAGTCCTACTAGTGTGAAGGATGGTGACAGGTGGAAGACTGTACCCAGATGAGAAAGAAACAGCCACCATATCCGGTAAAGGGAAATAAAAGTACGAGGTGTAGTCCCAGTGCTCAATGGAAGAAGTACTCTCAGTTCATGACTAGGGTGAGATGCAGGTAAAATGGAAAGTGTTTGATCAGAGTGAAGACATCAGGAATTGATTACAGGAAAAAGAAGACAAGGAAGATAAAATCACAAGCAGAAGAGTGGTGACAGGTAATGAAACAGCAGAAAAAGGAACCAATGGAAAGAAACCTTGAAGGTAATTAAGCATTCCAGAGCATGTATGGGATATAGGCAGTCTGGATCGAACCAGAAATACAGGTGGGAGATGGAAGGAAACAAAAACAAAGGAAAAGGAAGAACATGTTACATGAGCAGCCAAAACATGACCAGAGCAAAATAAACAGATTCGAGCTGAAGCAGATGAGAAAACCAGATTTGTGTCAGTCAGGAAGGAGAAACCAGAAAGACCTGACTCAGAGTGGCAAGGATTAATGAACTCACCTGAGGAAAATGACAAATGGAATAAGAAAATAAAGGTATAAACTAGTCTCAAAGCAAAGGCAAGTGGATGAGAAACTGCAGACAAAGACATACAGATACAAAAGAAGCTCAAAGAGCAAGATGCGAAACTGGTACACAACCCTGTGGTGAACAAACCTAAGACAGAGCCATGAGAGATGAAAAATAAGAATGTGGGCATAAGAATACAAAACATCAACTTGGGAATCCTCAGTTCTGGATAAATAGCCCACCAAAGTATGATAAAAGACAACATAGTAAAAAGAAAAAATAAGAAGTGATTGAACACAGAACTCCAATCTGCATGAAGAATCACGACTAACGAAGAAACTATTAGATGTAGGACAGGTAAATTATGGAAAGGTGTCAGACATGGAACATGAACAAAGAATGTGATGGCTAGAGAAACAAAAGAACATCCAAATAACAAAAAATTCAATATAGCAACACAGATACCCCAAATGATGCTAAAATCACAGGAGTAACACCGCCTCCAAAAAATGGACCAGTGGAGAAAAAGAGCCATCCGTAAGTCCTAATCAGAAGTGGGTTGGAAACAAACTTAGTACCAGACAGTGTTTCACCCCAGAAGATTCCAAATGAAAAAAGCCACGTGTGTAGGGAAAGAGCTGAAGATTGCAATTGTTTCAATGTGGAGGTAAGGAAGAAGGTGTCCTACAAAAATTCCCAAGAAATAGATGGAATGCCTCAGAAAAAATGCGTATGGTGGACAATACCAGTAAGAGAGGCAAAACGTGAAGACAAAGGCTAGAAAACTTGGCTAGGTAGAGGATTAACAGGGTCTGCCACCCATACAGACAGAGATTCTAAGTGCATAGAAGCAAGAAAATAAAAAACAATCTCCCTGATTGCTAAGCTAAGGCAAAATGAAACAAAGTCCATGGAGGGTGAGGCATGCCAGCACCATCTCTCAAAAGAGAGTCAGAAAGTCCCAGCATGAACCAAAATGTCTGGAAAAAGAGGGGGGAAAAAAGAACAACTGGGAAAGGTGTAGTCATAATCAGGCAGAGAAACTTGTCAAAATATGTCATCTCAAATGGTTTTGGCAGTTTGGGGAGGAAGGCAAGCAATAATAAGAGAAGGTTGGGTGGACCCCAGTCACAGGGATCCTCACAAACGAAATTAATAAATTAATGGCAAGAAGGATAAAATATAATTAATTACAAAAATTAAATTGTCATTATATTTCAAAATTAAGTAAATGTATATTGACACTAAAAAATGTAGTAGATGATATTTGTTGACGAAACAATATCTCTTATGCAATTTGTAATTTACCAGTAAGATGAATGACAGGTAAACCTAAAATAACAAAGACACGTGTTAAACCTAATTTAACGTTGTAGTACAAAGGATATCACTAAACTTTAATTGAAAAACCCTAACCAAACAAGAAGTAGGTACAAATCTAACATATATTATTGAAACTAAATAACTACAAATTATAATATTAATATCAAAAATAATCAAAAAGCTTTAACAGTGTAACAGCTTATCTGTCCAAAATCAGCAGATCATATTCAAAATGTGTTAACCCCCAAACTGGAGGTCCGACAAAGGTCAACTCGCATAACGATTAATCTTCTGATGTATTAAAACTGACAATTCCTCAGACAAGTACCACCACCTGAAGCCTGGGTTATTGTGCTGGGAAGTAAATGATAACATTTTCGAAGTGGAAACATAAGCTTCAGTGAGGAACAATAAATGTAATGTATGACTTAAAATTAGTAAAGTGAAGTAGGAAAAAACAGAAAATATGTCTACTTCATAAGAAATAAAAAAAATAATAATGTGGGAAGAGAGCACAAACAAAAGAACATCTTGATGATATCACTGCCAAACGAGAAGTGACAGTTTGGTAGAATCTAATAGAGGGAGTCACATGCGTCAAGAGAATGTGTCGCACTCTTACTAGTGGAGAGTTGTTGCATGATGACTTACATGTGATATGCAGTTGAACCACTTTGATAATGGGGTACTTGGGAGCCCAAGGCTTGTGGTCTTTTTTTTGCATGTAGAGGGCAACACTAAATGAGAATAGCTATTTATTTGAGGAGGTAATTACCATATTGGAAAAAAATATTCACTTAAATGTACAAATTATTAATCAATGTTTTTTACATAACCAGATACTAATTTCTAACTATATAGTGATTTTAAATGAACTGATGGAAGCTACACGGATGGAAGAAAAATGCATCACAACAACCCTCATTAATAATTGATGCCTAGAACACTAGATAAAGAAAATAAATACCAAGAATGATGAGGAAGAAAATTAGAGATATACAGTCATATTCCCCAATTGTGAATGTTTGGACAAACAAACAGACCAACATAAGTGAAAATTTAGGAGCATAACAGACACACACACACAACTCCATAATACTGATCTATTTGAACCAGACATAAGAAAGGTAAAATGTCTTTTACATCTCTGTAACTCATAACATACTTAATCTATGATAGAAGTCAGTAAAATCCAGATGCCCTTCTTGAGAATATTCAAATAGTTAGTTGATTCCAGCTAATTCTAATGAGAGCAAACACAGTTTAGTGGATAACACCAGACTTCCACCAAGAAAATCTAGAATTGAATCCTGGCCACTAACAACACAAACAGTCTTTCTGAGGACTTCACTGAAGACAGCAAGAGATTTGCACCCAAAATGTAGGAGAAAAACAAGATAGTAATTAGTAACTAGTTATAAAAAAATTTTTTACAAATTAAATTTAGGTGATCATGTAGACTATTAAAATTAACAATGAAGAATCAAAATTTGCACAATATATTAAAGCCAATTTAAACAGGCCAAAAACAAGAAATTAATTTGACAGATTGGTAATAATTTAATTGTACATATAGATTTTTTATTAATCTTGATATTTTAGAATTCACCAGGATAATCTTTACATGATCTCAAACTTGCTAACCTATGTATTGAATGCAAGCTTTCATTTCTAGCAACTTACATCTGCCATATGTTAATGGCAACCTCTGTTGTAATCTTAATCTTTAACCTTCAAATTACTAACTTGTTTTTTCATACCATTCAACTAACAGTAGATGTTACACATATTACATCATGAGGAGTTTTATGTTTTGCCTGTTACAACATTCTGTGTAAAGAATTGACCACATACTACCAACTTTTCAAACAATCAGACAATATGTAAACATTTTATTTTCAGTGGTTTTAATAATGAACATAGTAGTGCCACACATATTCACAGTAACAATTTTATTTTCCTCATTGCTTATGGATATGTAATCTACAATTTGTAAATTTTATATTCTTTTGGTGGATGCAATACCAAAATATACTTACATAAGTATTATTAATCTTTATGAGTTTACCAAACACTATACAATATTAATGGAACTACATTTGTAGACTAAATACTTTTTGGAGAACATAGTTATATTTCTAATATTTGAATACAATTTTATCAATTCTTCAATGTACCAAAAACAGTTGATTACAACCAACGAGTCATTTATATTTATCTGAATATGATTTATAAAAAAAATCTATGAAGTGCATATGCATAAACATTTAGTGTAATTAATCTATTATTTTCAATCAATTAATTATTCTCAAGAAACTTGGGTAATCAGAAACAATTTTCATAAGTCATGACTAACTGATTAAGCTGAACAACCTTAAATTAATGAAAATTAATTATGAAAAATCATAGTGACAATATTTGGTTAATTGGATAATTTAAACAAATGTAATAATTGGGAACATTAATCTTGGTTAATTGATGCTCATGAGTAACTGATTATACTGAATAATCGAGTTAATCACACAGCTCTATTAGAGTAGCATTCACACAGAAATATCAATAGGTCGAACTTCAATATTTCAAGTAACAGTTCTAAGATACAAGTTTACTTTTACACAAGCTAATGTAATAAAATCCACAAGGCATGTAATGCACATAAATAACTGTTTGAAGTAAATATTCATAAATTATCATTTGCAAGATCCTTTAAATTTGAGATTTCACAAACAATAACCTAATTTACCTGTTCTACTGCTATCTACTCACTCACTGTTCTAGTCTAAATTTAGTAGAATCTAAAAACTGTAATTACAATTGCTGACAAAACATGCTCAATATGTTTTTATAGTCTTATACAAGAATTCTTGACAATATAAATCATTTTATAAAAAACATTTACCTATTATTCAACTACAATTTATATTGTCTATAATGAAAATTGTTGTTCATTGCTAATTTTTTAAGATTTTTTTTTTCTATTGATGCTTACTTTTTATATCCTTATTCTTATGTCATCTTTTGAATTAATTACAGGGATGTGGAATTCATATTGCTCGATGCCCAGGACAATAAGTTTTATCATTATGCTTTGCCCATAAGAGCACTGTGTGTTCTATTGCTAGAAAAACACTTAGAGTTGATTTCTGGAAAGCCATGCAAGTTTCAGAATATTTTGAACTGTAGAAGTCTAGTACATACACATGAACACTTAAAAATGCATACCTAAACCTCAAACCAAAATTATATATACAAATACATATATATATATATCCCTTTAACTCAAAAACCCTCAGTCACACACAGCATAAAAAACATTTAAACCAATGCAACACTATTATGACATAGGTTTTTGTCAGTCAAATTAGGCTGCTAGCTCTAGAAAAATATACAACATAATAAAAATTACACAAACCTGTTAATATATATATATACAAAAATAAGTTCATTTTAGTTCATGGCAGCATTAATGTAACCATATGATTTCTTTATCAATCCATGATGCACACTAATATCATAATAACAATATTAAACAAAATACATGAACAAACATGTACGAAAAGTTTAAATGCAATAGATGGTACACGCTATTCCTGACAAAACTAAGCATTAAACGGCATTGTAAAGATGGATGTGAAGCATTTGAACTAAAAAGGTCTACGAGTAAAAAGCATTTTGTCTAAACATTAAACAGATTTTGCAAAGTTTGAAATAAACTGTACTTTTAATGGATCCATATAATAATTTGTGATGAGTTTATTTAATAATTATCTCACTTTGCTTTCACAGCATCTTTTGTTGAAGCTGCAGAAGCAAAACAAGTGATTTTCTCAAAATGACAATTTCAATATACAAAAACAGACACAGAATATAGTATAAAAAAGATCCACGTTAACATTTTGTATCTTATGAATCAGACTTTTTAAAAACATTTCCAAGTTGTAGTCATTTTACTAATTTATCAGTGCATTTTATCTCTCAATCTCTGTGTGTGTTCCCATTTATATATATATATATATATATATGTCACTGTTAAGTGAAATAACATCCTACAAGTTTTATTTTACTTTTTTGTATTTTGTTGGATAGGGAGAGGACAAGTAGATTTTTCTGGCATCTGACAAATTTTTTTTTTTTTAAATTCCACATCCATGTAATGGTTGTTTTCATACTCAATCTGAAATAAATGTAGCTTATAACTTTTTCTGTCATGACAACTTAATTTTACCAAATCCTGTTATAATTCAACTGAAGACCAAAGGGTGCTCTGTGTTGAAAATAAGAATACAGTTTGAACAATACATTATATACATCAATTTTATTCCTTTCTACAGCAATTTAGACCCCTTCAAAAGCATTATGCTTGAAACACCAAGAAAATTAAACACAGATTTGTTCTATTACAAGTGTGCAATGTAACAAATTTTTTTATGTTATATGAACAATTACATTGTACAAATTTATTGCAAAATGGAAAGCTATCTTACTGGAAAAATGTATCCTGGATACTGTAACACTTTATTTACATGTTAGAAAAATATCAACAACATGTTTTTGAGCCTCTTTTCCACTCATATGTTGTTTTATATGTTTAAATCTATATATGAAATGCTCATCTGAAAACATTATTGCTTTTGTTAAAATGTACTGTACTTGATAGATTAAGGAGAAGGACTATTAAAATTATTCTAGATCTGAAGAACTATAGCTATGAAAAAACAACTTAGGCACTTGATCTTGTACTCTTTAGAAAGGTGCATATACAAAAGGAATTATATGGTTAAACAAAGTCTGCTTGAGTGAAATCTAATTTGATTTTGAGTTTCAAAGGGCTTACTAATGAAAACTGACTTAAAATAATTTACAAGCATTCAAAATTCAAAGAAAGATAGTAGCTGAATTTTGCTTATTTAAACACGTTTTCCTTACACTTTCTGACCATGTTATAAGGGCTATTAAGCTTCATTTTCAACAACCCACTGGTTACATTTGTGGATGGGCATTTATGACTGTTTTGTAGTAGAATTGTTCTGGAAAATGTTGACAATCTTCTTCAGACAACTAGTTTTTTTGTTTTTGTTTTGTTTTATTATCTATATTGGGAACATTTTTAATAGGCAACTGTGTGTGATAATAATAAGCAAGACTTAAGACTTGAGAAAACAATTACTGCAAATTTTGCTATGTAAAATATTTTAATATCTATAATGTAGGATGAATACACATACTCAAAAACCTTAAGGTATTTAACCTGGAAACTTAGATAAAAGTCAGTATTTTTCAAAAACAGAGCCTTTAAATTATGTAAATACATCTACAGAGGTTGATGGATCATAGGAAATATCCGTGAATGTACTGTATGAATCCAGAGACTCATTTAAGACAAACAATGCTTATATAGTTATGGAAAGCAAATATTAAGTAATATGAAGCTTCAGTGAACTAATGTATAAGGATGCAGGCTAAAGCATTTTTTGAGAAAATGCATGCGAGAAAATCCTGTAACAACCTTTTGTTTTACTTAAAAGTAAGTTTTAAAACATAAATACTTTGATAAGAGCATAAGAATTAAGTTTTTTAAAAAAATCACAGTACAATAAACTACAATAAAATTTATATTTGATACACAAAAACTTAAGTCACAAAAAGCAATGCAAAAAAATGTGACTAATGTGCATAAAATTATCTTATAAAAGATACCAAAAGGAGATACAGAAACAGACCTAAAAATCAAAAGCAAAGCACTAAGGTAGAAAAAAAAAAAGAGATTATCTTACATACAAAACAAGATAATAAGAAACATTTTTTTAGTCTCAGTGTTACATAAAATGCTTGATGTCCTTTTAACATCTTGTTATCATAGACTTGGTGTTGAAAGTCAAAAACAAATGAGCATATTTAAAGCACATTTCTGGCAAATATGACATTGTTCTACACACCTATTTAAATTCTTTCACTTTTTATTTTTAAATTTCTCAAACTGTATCTTCATTAAGCTTATTGTGCAAAATTTCTTGGATGATTTTTTCACAACTGAGTAGCATATTCTTATAATAAAGTAATGGAAGAACAGTATGGTAGTATAAATACTTAACTGAATATAATCATTAAGCCTACTGTAAGTAGGGAATCACTGCAATGTATCAGTTTTTGGAATATCACTGTTCTTTAGAGATGCAGGTCACAATAATGGGTGCAGCTGATGGACTTGCTGATGAGCTATCATTAAAAGAACACTTAGTTTTACTGGGTGCTTCAGGAAATCGTTTCTGACATCGAAACATATGTTTGCTCAAATGATCACTGCGCATAAACCTCTTCTGACAAATAGTGCAGATGAAGTTTTTCTCACCTGTGTGGGTCCTGTAATGTCGTGCTAGTTCATCTGACCTTACAAAACGTTTTCCACAACCTGCCCATGAACAACTGTATGGCCTTTCACCTAGAAGTTACAAAAAAGCATTTAAATTGTTTTGTTTTACAAAACATACAAGTTTGTAAAACACTGATACAAAGATCTCAATATGGATTGAGGGCATATATATATATATAAATATATCTAATATATGTAAAAGCCAGTTGTCTTTTGGTAATGCTCCATTCTTTTTTTGTTGCTCAGCAACAAAACTGAATTGATATTATTGTTTCAAGTATGTGAGTAATACTTCAAATGTGTTTGAAGGCTGGCTTGAAAACCACTTTTTTTAGATCAATTTCCATTTTACTTTAAGCATATATCTAGCTTGACTTTCAAAGTCCTTGTTGAAATTTAAAAACATCCAAGTTAGAGGTTCATGATGGTAATTCGCACATTACATTTTATTTGGTTTTCATGAAGTTTTTCAGTTTTGTTATTACTTTTTTTCTTCCAAACATATTACCATTAGTCTTAAATAATGATGGTACTTGAAATAAATTTTCAGTTTTAAACTTTGGAATAGAATTTTTATCATAAACCTTAGGTTTGTTGGTTTTGGGTGCTTTATCTTCTTTTTGGCATTTAATCCATAATCTTTAAGTTATATGATGTAATTAGAAAAATATGTTTTAGTACATGTAAAATATGAATGGATTTGTGAATTCTTCCATTTACCTCAGAACCATCCGAGTAAGACAACTTCATGAAATAAATAGATTGGGTACATTTCAACAGTTTGTGTTGGGATGTTAAGGGTAAAAGGTTTGGGTGATAAGATTATGTTAGTGAGGCCTTGGCTTCCTACTGCTTAGTTATTTATTACCACCCCAGATAAAAGAAAAAATGCTAAAACCATTTCAAAATATTGCACTATACAGCAATAACTAAAATGTTGAAAAACTTTTCCAATTTCTTTTAGAATACATTTAACATTAGAAATGTTGTGTAAACATTCTTGATTGTCATAATGTGGTAAATAAATTTAAAAAGAAAAAATTCAATAAGATTTTTATGAATTTATATAAGTCATGAATTTGAGGTGGTACTACTATTTTTCTGCTGATTAAAATCTAATATATATAAAAAACAGTTGACATTTTGCGTACGTGTGTGTGTGTGTGTGTGTGTGAATAATGCTCGTATTAAGAGTCACATTTAAGTTTCCCCATTGTTATTGATTTTTGACTTTTTAATTGAAAATTTTTCTCATTTTCTCAATGTGCAATACTTTTTCTTTTACAGTAAAAATTTGGTGAGCAAATCTTAATGAAAGAGGGGGAGATGGGGCAGGTTTATTTTTTACAAAATTCCAACCAATCATTTTTTTGACAAGTTGGGCAAAGTTGGTAAATATATGCCATTCTTTGGCATCCAAAAATTAGTAACTTTCAAACAAGATATGCATTTTTTTGATATTCAGAACAATACAAAAATACTAATCTCATACTACCACTCTTTAAGGTAAGATTTTAACCAGCAAAAAATTTAGATACATGCACACACTCCCATGTATAAACTGAGAGCTCAACATTACAAACAATTTTAGTTATGAAAGAATAATGGTTAAGTCAATAAACAAAATAACCCATCATTAACTCTTTCAGCATGACATTGTAACCATTTTCATGCTGTAACTTTTAAGTTAGTAAGCAAATGTTAACAAAATTTGGCAGACTATCAGTAAACAATACAATACTTTCATACGCAAAATATCAATTTTTTTCTCACATCTTCTTTCTTTTTGCATGTTGCCTATCTATCATGTAAAGTAATATTATTTTAATATTAAAAATACTTTTATGCATCAGCAAATTTTGAAATTTCACATGCAAAATCTTTATAATGTCGAGATAGTTATCAAATGTTTCTTAAGAAAAAATCTATTTTATCTGTTATTTTCAGTAATTAACCTCTAAGGGTTCAATAGATTTGTCCGATCTTGCAACCACAATAAAAAATTAGGAAAAATATAAATTAGGCCTCCTTCATTTTAGAAATTAAAACACGAAAACATAAATGTTTAGACTAAATAGCTTAAATCTCATAACATTAAACATATATATATATTTATTATTTTTATTTTATTACCCTTTTCTT